TCCTTCGGAGTTGCCGGGTCTAGAGTTTTACGTACATCTTGTGTATATATGTATATATATGTTATGGATAGGTCGAGGCCCTATTCCGATCAGAATACATCCATCAGTAGAGGCTTGTAGATATATCTTGTCAATTAGTGCAATATATTGAGCTTGTAAGCCTTGTATGTATATTTTGTTGGTTTGCCAGCTGTAGTAGATATGATGGCCTTGGCGGCCCAGCCTTATATTGATGTTTAGTCAGCGTTCACGAATTGTCTTGCAATGTGGCCTATGACCAAAGTGTGATATTATATGTTCAAAGTCCTTTAGTCGCAAGTTGGTACGCAAGGATAGGTGAGGCACCGGGTGCCGGTCTCGCCCCCAGGTTCGGGGTACGACAGAAGTGGTATCAGAGCAGTTCTGTCCTAGGGTGTCTACAAGTCGTGTCTAATAGAGACTTGTTTATGGGTGTGTTGTGTACCAAACTTATAAATGAGGAGATTACAGGGCATTTAGGATTGTCACTCTTTCTTCTTACTCTAGATCATGTGGTAGAGCTCAATTATAAGAACTGAATTTCCTAAAATCTATCTTATTCATAATACGACGATGCCTACATCTAGAAAGATGGTTGGTAAGAGTAGTAACTTGAAGAGAATATTAAAATACCCATGTAATGTGAGACACATTGGGATGCTATAAAATACAGTTATAGAAGTATAGTATCTCCCCTAGGTGGATCAATTTAATCATTTCAGATGTTCCCCAATGAGAGGTAAGCCCTAGCGACAGTGTTACATAAAAGGTCAAGTTATCAATGGTAGATTATAGATCAATATTGAGGTTAATCAACAATGGATGGATAAGAGTTACAAAGTGTGAGATGAGAGTAGGTTGTCATTCTTAAGATAAACAGTAACGAGGAAGCATTAATGGACTTAGATTTATACATCTATGATAAGAAGCGAGAGAGTAACCTAGAATTGGGTAGCAGACCTCGATAATAATAAAATCAAGGTAAGAGTTATGGTATAGTATGACCTACCTAGATGCAGTAAAGTCATATGGATGAATAACCAGGTCTATGAAATAAGATATAACAATATTCGTAAGTTCGACAAAGTACCGAGCGAAGAACTTCAGTATACCTATAGATGCCCAGAGGGACATCTTATTAAGCTTTGTATGTGTTTACAAAGTTAGGCCTAGAGATTGGCTAAAAGCTAGAGGAAAAAAAAAGGAAAGAAGAGTCGCATAGGCACACTTACGAAGTCAGAGTCGTACATGCTGCATGATAAAAGGTAGCAACAGTTACAAGATTGGAAGGATTCTGACCACGAGTCATGGTGTGAGAAAGAGGCCTAAAGGCGGGAATGCCCTGGCCTTTGGATTTATTCACAGAACAGTTGCCTAAATGGAAAGGATAGTATTAAAACCATTCATAAGAGCCATCCGGTTATGAGATCGATAAATACATTAGTCAACATTCGAGGACGAATGTTCCAAATGGGGGAATGATGTCACGCCCCGCAGTATTACGTCGATGTTACGATCCGCAGTATTATATTACTACGATGTTATACCCTGCAGTATTGTACGTTGAATTTGTCGTAAGATAATTGACATCAGTTCAAGGACAAGATTATTTGGAGATTATAAGTATTATGCTATTTCAAACAAGTGACGAGTAAATTCGTGAAGGTGAGAAAGCAAATCGAAGTAAATGAATTTCGTCGAAGTTTGACATTTTGAGATAAAATACGGTCCAAGCTACAATACCCCATATTTATGGATTAGTTCCATACAAGGTACTACATGACCATGATAGTATGATGTATAAGGTGTATTAAAAATGAGTAGTATTTTAAGTAGTTTGAGATAATTCTTAATTATATGGGTAATTGGCTAATTATTGGGTAATAGGATATTACCTAATTAATTAGAGAATTATTGGATAAAGATTAAATTTCTCAATGTGGCAGCCCACCCTTCAAACTAAGTGACTCATAAATCAATTAAAAGGTGGAAAACTAAAGTTATAAACACAAGTCACTACATTCTTCATTACGTGTAAAACATATACTTAAAAGATTTGTAACCATTATGCTTTATTTGGTCTTTAGATGTTCAAGCGATTCAATTATAATGTTCTTTCTATTACAATGACACGTTAGAATGTATTAAGAGAATACATAACATTTTCCTACTACAACACCAAAATAAGACACGATGGAGCACTTGATTTCATAACATCTTAAGCAACATGAGATTTTGCGATTCTAAGGGAGTACGGTTCAATCTTTCTCAAGAATATCATACGGNATATACAGTATTACAGTATTTTCACCACCATCGAGCTATAATCGGTGAGCAGGCCCCTATTGGGAAATCTCTGATCAGATAGTAAGTTATATACAAAGCCTATTGTGGCCGAGCGCCTATGAGCGAGCCCAGAATGGCCGAGATACAGATCCTAGTATGGTCGAGCACCTATGAGCAAGCCTACTATGGCAGAGTAGTTATATTTACCAAGCCCTATAAGGCCGGACAGTTATTTTACTTACTATATTGAGAGAGTTGAATCAGTATCAGCAAGTAAGCATATCTTCAGATTATCTTTGACTCCCAGTTACTTTCAGTTATTATATTATCAGTTCAGTTTCGGCTTTCAGTTATTCTGTTACCTTACATACTCGGTATATTATTTTGTACTGACGTCCCTTTTGCCGGGGACGCTGCATTTCATGCGTGTAGGTTCAGACAGACGGACGAGTAGACCTCCTCAGTAGGTGTTGCCCGAGTTTAGCTTGATCGGTAAGCTCTGTGTCCTTAGGAGTTGCCGGGTCTAGCGTTTTACGTACATATTGTGTGTGTGTATATATATATATGTTATGGATAGGTCGGGGTCCTACTCCGATCACAATACATCCATCAGTAGAGGTTTGTAGACATATCCTGTCAGCTAGTGCAGTATGTTGGGCTTATATTGATGTTCAGTCAGCGTTCGCGAATTGTCTTGCAATGTGGCCCATGGACAAAGTATGACATTATGTGTTCTCCACTTATGAATTGTCTTGCAATGTGGACCTTATTCGCATGTTGGTACGCAAGGATAGGTGAGGCACCAGGTGCCGGTCTCGCCCCCCAGGTTCGGGGCGTGACAGTATATAACGCCGTAACCTTTTTTCATATCCCATATACATATAATATACATATACACGCGTATATAACCACCGCCGCAAGCTCTAAGTCATGAGTTGGATAATTCTTTTCATGATTCTTAACTTGCCTTGAAGCATATGCTATAATCTTACCATGTTGCATTAATACACACCCAAGACCAATCCTTGAAGCATCACAATACACCACAAACCCCTCGGTACCCTTTGGCAGGGTCAATACCGGCGCCGAAGTCAATCTGGATTTCAATTCCTGGAAGCTCCTTTCACAAGCATCGTACCACTAGAAATTAACCGTCTTCTACGTCAATTTAGTCAATGGGGAGGAAAGAGTGGAGAACCCCTCCACAAAGATCCTATAATACCCAGCCAAACCGAAGAAACTGCGAAGCTCTGTTAGAGTAGTAGGTCTAGGACAATCTTTCACCGCTGCAATCTTTTGAGGATCAACCTTAATTCCTTTTCCGGAGATGACATGACCCAGGAATGTAACAGATTCAAGCCAAAATTCACATTTCGAGAACTTTGCATACAATTGGTGTTGATGAAGAGTTTGCAGAACTGCCCTGAGGTGATCGGCGTGATCCTCTCGACTTTGTGAATACAAAAGGATGTTGTTAATGAATACTATCACAAAGGAGTTGAGGAACGGCTTGAAGACTCGATTCATAAGATCCATGAAAGCTGTCGGGGCATTTATTAGCCCGAAAGACATTACCAAAAATTCAAAGTGCCTATACCGAGTTTTGAAAGCTGTTTTCGGAATATCCTGCTCCTTTACCTTCAATTGATGGTACCCGGACCGCAAATCAATTTTGGAGAAGAACTTAGCACTTGTAATTTATCAAACAAATCATCTATTCTTGGCAATGGGTATTTGTTTTTGATTGTGACTTTGTTGAGTTGTCGGTAATCAATACACATCCGCAGCGATCCATCTTTCTTCCTGACAAAGAGAACCGGTGCGCCCCAAGGCGACACACTCGGTCGGACGAAACCTTTCTCTAGCAAATCCCTTAGTTGTTCATTTAGCTCCTTTAATTCTGCCGGCACCATTCTATAAGGTGGAATGGATATAGGCTGCGTGCCCAGCATCACATCAATCCCAAAATCAATCTCCCTGTCTGGAGGAATTCCAGGGAGCTCATCTAGAAATACATCGGGGAATTCATTCACAATTGGTACAGATTCGAGGGTAGGCAACTCAGCAGTGGTGTCCATAACTCGAACCAAATGGTAAATATACCCCTTCCTGATCATCTTTTTGGCCTTAAGGTAAGAAATAAACCTACCTTTTGGCATAAAATTATTCCCCTCCCATTCAACAGCTGGCTCGTTAAGAAACTCAAGCCTCACGATTCTGGCTCAGTAATCGAGTTTGGCAAAATATGAATAAAGCCAATCCATTCCCATTATTACGTCAAAATCAATCATCCCTAGTTCAATAAGATCGGCCATGGTATCCCGACCATGCACCGTGACAACACAATCCCTATAAACCTGCGGGGCCATAATAGACTCGCCAACCGGAATAGATACAGAGAACGGCTCATGAAGTTGTTCCGGTTCTATCCCGAAGCTCGTAGCAACATAAGGAGTAACATAGGATAAGGAAGATTCGGGATCAATAAGGGCATACACATCATGAGATTGAATAGTCAATATACCTGTGATGACATCCGGGGAAGCCTCCGCACTCTGTTGACCACTCATAGCATAGAATCGGCTAGGTCCTCCCAAACTCTGTGCACCACCCCTAGCTGTAACATGCCCTGCAGGTGCTGAAGAGCCTCGAGCTGGAGGGTGTGCTGAAGATGTGGCAGCTGTAGGACGGGATGACTAAGCTGTGCCCCTCCCTGCACCCTGACGGGATGCACGACACTCCCTCTGAATATGGCCTCTCATTCCATATCTGTAACATACTGGCATGTCTAGGTAGCAGACTCCCGAATGTATCCTCCCACACTTAGGGCATGGGGCCCTCTGCTGCTTCTCGAATCTCCCTCCTGATCGGCCCTGATGGTGGGAACCCCTGCTCCCCTGACCGGGCCTAAAGCGACTCCCCTGCTGCTGACCGTGCCCTGATGGCGGGGCACTAGCTGAAGACTGAGCATAAGACAGGTATGGCCCTGATGATCCTCCCTGAAAAGCTGATCTCCCACCTCCAAATGAGTCCCCAAGGTTGCCTGCTGATCGGGCCCTACTACTACTTTACCGTTCCATCTTGAGCTTTAACTTTCGAGCCTCCGTTGCTTGGGCAAATGCCACCATCCTTCCATAGTTCATGTCAGAATTTAGAGCAGCTGCGGTAGCCTCATTAATAACCAAAGGGCTAAGGCCCTGCACAAATCGACGAACTCTTGTCTCCATAGTCGGCATCATATGAACAGCATACTTCGACAGGCGCACGAACTCCATGTGATACTCCCACACATTCCTACTACCCTGTTTAAGGGTCTCAAACTCCATAACACGGTCTGCCTTAGTCTCGGCAGGCAAGAAATGGTCTATGAAGGCATCCGCGAACTCACTCCATCTCGTCGGAGGGCTCTTCTCCTTGCGAGAATCTACCCACATTTCAAACCAGGAATATGCCACCCCTTTCAGATGATAAGAGGCCAAATCTACTCCCTCTACTTCAGTAGCACGCATAACCCGGAGAGTCTTATGCATCTCATCAATGAAATCCTGAGGGTCTGCCCCGGGATCAGTACCCGAGAACACTGGAGGGTCTAACTGAAGGAACCTGTTTACCCTGGAACTAGAAGAATCCTCTTGCAAGCTAAATAAGGTGGGTGCAACATTTGTCCTCTGGGCCTGAGAAGCTACTAACTGAGTTAGCATTTGAGTAGCTCCCCTAAGATCCCCATCAGAAATACCGGGACCTGGAGCTGGGGCTGGAGGTGGAACAGGTATATCGGCGGGAGGGATTGTGGCACCCTCCGCGGGTGTAGGAACTGGGGTAGTCTGTTCTGGAGTAGACGAAACAGGCACTGTGATAGTAGGGGGATTATCCTCGCCTGCATTATCAAGTAAGGGATCAACAGCCACTCTTGGTGTGGCATTGGCTTCTTGGCCGATTCTCGCTCTCTTCTTAGGTGCCATTTACTGAAAGTTAGAACAATGCACGAGTTAGGGAAAAACAACCTCACGTTCCGCTCTATCGCATGATATAGAACAACAATAAAGGGTATCATTCTTAAATTTCCAAGTAGCCCCCTAATTATAGATGTGGTCGACAACACACCGATAAGAAGGGCTCTACTATACACGGCTCCGAGACATCCTAGGACACTTTATGTAAGGACCGGCAAAAATTTAAAACAAAAACTTGGGATTTCATGGTGCCAAGTTAGATTCTTGCGTTATTATAGTAGAAATTCTTCTCAGTGAGCTTGCGAGCCGCGGTTCGGACTTTTTGGATTGAACAGTACCCTACGAACTTAGAGAAAATGTTTCACAGAAGGACGCATTTCTGCGGCCCATTATGCGGCTGCATAATCACCTTGCGGACCGCATAATGGCCGCAGAGTGAAGCAGTACGTTGGCCAGTTTGAGGTCAGCTTTGCGGTCGATTATGCGACCGCATAACCACTATGCGGACCACATATTGATCGCATAATCCCTCTTGGGTTTTTGTGGAGGGAGTTCTGCGGTGCATTATGCGACCGCAGAACGAGTATGTAGACCGCATACCGGTCGCACACCTGAGCCGTAAGTTCAGGCGCGTGAGGGACATTTCTGTGGTCACTTTGCGGACCGCATAACCGTTATGCGGTCGCATATGCGACCCAGACCTGTGTCGGGGCACCCATTTTCTTAATTTTAAACCCGACCCCCATTCTGTTAAAACACCCCCTTTAGTCTATTTTGAGCTTATTTTCTGATACTATAGAGTGAGAGAGGGAACCTTGAGTGAGAAAGTAATCCTCATCAATTATTCTTGAATTCTTACTTGAAACTTTGAAGATTATCAAGGAAAGCAATCTAGGCCTCACTCCTAGAGGTAAGAATCTATACCCTAGCCCTAAAATTTTGAAACTTATACTGAATGAGGGTTGTTTATCTTGCATGCATGTGTGGTAAAAAGAATGTGGAAAAAGGAACTAGAACCATGAATGTTTTCCTAATTTTGGGTTCAATTTGTATTTTGCTAAAATAGATTGAGGTTGCCAACGTTTTCGGATAATTGTAGAGTCAAAAGAAGTGCAATTGAGGTATGCATGGCTAACTCTCTTCTTCCTAGAATCGAACTCCTGGTATCCGAATATTTGGTGTAAGTTCTGACTTGATCATACTAGAATTGTTTGCCTTAGTGTGTTGGGTTGGAAGATTCATGTTCCCTAATTGTTTTAGATGTTTACCATGTCATCATGCTACTTGAGAACGTAACTATGATTTTCCAAGCTCCTTCCCTTATGTGTGAAATGCCTTATGTGATGGTACTCATAGACTTGAATTGTAAAATGTGCCAAAGTGCCAAGAACTATTTAATAAATGAGGTTGTATGTGCCATGAAATGAAAGATGGGAAAGAGATGTGAATTGAGTGAATACTTGAAAGAGGTTATGTCTCAAGTGAGATGGCTTAGCCGATCGGGCCGAGATCGGATGCCATACCGTACACATGGTGGCATTTATGTTGGAATTATTGATTTACATTGTGGATATGGATATGTCTCACTTGAGATGGCTTAGCCGGTCGTGCCGAGACCGGACTCCATGTAAAAAATGGTGGCATTGTGAGTTGTGGCTTTGGCACTAATTACCATTAACCTAAAAAGATGGAAAGATTGAATTGGAAATTATGTGATCCTTATATGGTGATTCTTTGTATTTCTATGAAGTACTTATTGATTGTTATGACTTCCTTCTCTTTGTTTCACTGTTCATTCTACTAAGATTAGTGTTTTCCTTACATACTAGTACTATTCGACAGTACTAATGTCCCTTTTGTCGGGGGCGCTACATCTTTGAATGGATGTAGGTGGTTCTATCGCAGATAGCGCTGATCGCAGATAGTGGTGCTCTCCTTCTCACTAATCACAGCAGTCTTGGTGAGCCCCATTTCTTCCTGGGGTCATGTAGTCCTTCTTCTGTATAAGTTTTTATATTTTGAGGTATAGTGTTGTCGGCATTGTCATGTTGCTCTTTTGTACCCTTAGAGGCTTCGTAGACGTTTATGTAGGTCATGAATGTATGTTGGGGTGGTCGTTGAACCGAGTTGTATTTTGGAAATTTAACTATGGCATAATGCAGAAAATGAAAAAAAAGAACTAGCAACGTTTATATACTTATATAACTGATCTCTCCCCTGTTTTACAAATGCTGACGCATTCCCTTTTTGCATCATGAATGAGTCGGGTAGAAAAGGTTTACTAGGCTTGCTCGACCGGGTTCACTCGGTTTGAGCGCCGGTCGAGCTCCCCAAAGTTGGGGCATGACACTTTAAAACCTTAAGCTCTGATACCAAGTTTGTCACGCCCCAACCTCGGGGAGCGCGACCGGCGCTCAACCGAGTGAACCCGGTCGAGAAAGCCTAGTAAACCTTTTCTACCCAACATACATACATGACCCACAAAACATCTACGGAGCCTCTAAGGATACAAAAGAGCAACATGACAATGCCGGCAACAAGGCCCTGGCTATACCTCAAAATGTAAAAACTTATACAAAAGAAGGACTACATGACCACTGGGAGAAATGGGGCTCACTAGAACTGCCGTGAGGAGAGAAAGAGAGCACCACTATCTGCGATGGAACCACCTACATCCATTCAAAGATGTAGCGCCCCCGGCAAAAGGGACGTTAGTACTGTCGAATAGTACTAGTATGTAAGGCAAACACTAATCTTAGTAGAATGAACAGTGAAACAAAGAGAAGGCAGTCATAATAATCAATAAGTAATTCATAGAAATACAAAGAAAACACTAAGTAAGGATCACATAGTTTCCAATTAAATCTTTTCATCTTTTTAGATAAATAATCTTTCGTGCCAAGCCACAACTCACAATGCCATCGTGTTTTTACACGGAGTCCGGTCTCAGCCCGACCAGCTAAGCCATCTCAAGTGAGACATATCCATATCCACAATATAATTCAATAATTCTAATACAAATGCCACTATGTGTACAGCATGGCGTCCGATCTCGGCCCGATCGGCTAAGCCATCTCCCTTGAGACATAACCTTTTTCAACTGTCCACTCAATTGACATTTCTTTCCATCTTCATTACATGGCACAAACAACCTCATTTATTAAGTAGTTCTTGCCACTTGGGCACATTTTACAATTTAAGTCTTTCCCTTTTTATTTGTTCAAATAACATCATCATTTATGTCGATAAGTACCATCACATAAGGCATTTCACACATAAGGGTAGGAGCTTGGAAAATCATAATTACGTTCTCAAATAGCATGATAACATGGTAACCATCTAAAACAATGAGGGAACATGAATCTTTCAATCAAACACACTAAAGCAAACAATTCTAGTATAATCAAGTTGGAACTTTCACAAATTATTCGGACACCAGAAGTTCGATTCTAAGAAGAAGAGAGTTAGCCATACAAACCTCAATTGCACTTCTTTAGACTCTACAATTATCCGGAACCCTTAGCAACCTCAATCTATTTTTTGTAATATACAAATTGAACCCAAAATTAGGAAATTGTTCATAGTTCTAGTTCACTTTTTATTTTTCCCACACTCTTTATCACATGCATGCAAGATGAACCACTCTCATACCCATGAAGTATTACCCTAGTACCCCATTATAGCTATGTTTGAAATTAAGAGCCGGGGTGATGAAATCTTACCTTTTTGGATGAAGAAATTGGGTGTTCTACTTGAGTATTTCCAAGCTTTGAGTGATGGTTGAAGATTGGTTGATGAAAATTAGGCCCTCCCTCTTGAACCCTCTCTCTCTCTCACTCTAGAAGTATCAGAAAATGAGCTCAAAATAGACCTAAGGGGTGTTTTAACGAAATGGGGGTCGGGTTTTAAATTAAGAAAAATGGTGCCCCGACACAGATCTGCGGTCGCATATGCGACCGCATAATGGTTATGCGGTCCGCAAAGTGACCGCAGAAATGGCCCTCAGGGGCCTAAACTTTCGGCTCAGGTATGCGACCAGTATGCGGTCCGCATACTTGTTCTGCGGTCGCATAATGCACCGTAGAACTCCCTCCGCAGAAACCCAAGAGGAATTATGCGACCGATATGGGGTCTGCATATCGATTATGCGGTCGCATAATCGACTGCAAAACTGACCTCAAATTGGCCAAACTTACTGCTTCACTCTACGGCCATTATACGGTCCGCAGAGTGATTATGTCGCCGCATAATGGGCCGCAGAAATGCGTTCTTCTGCGAAATATTTTCCTCTCAGTTCGTAGGGTACTGTTCAATCCAAAAAATCCGAACCGCGGCGAGCTTGCTCGCCGTGAAGAATTTCTACTATAATAACGCAGGAATCTAACTTGGCACCACGAAACCCTGAGTTTTTGGTTAAAATTTTTACGGGTCCTTACAATGTAACATCTCATTTCTGAGCTTATATCAATTTACTTCTGGCGTACTTTCATGTAAAAAAAAATATGTGGTGTAACATTCTTTCCCCCTTTGGAACATTCGTTCTCGAGTGCTTACTGATGCATTTATCATTTTCATAACTTATGTCTTCCGAATTGTTCAGTAATCTCCTTGCCATCTAGGCAACTGTTCTGTGAATAATTCCAAAGGCCACGGCATTCCCCCCTTTAAGCCTCTTTCTCACACCACGACTTGTGGTCGGAATCCTTTCAGTCTTGTAACTAATGCTACCTTTTATCATGCAGCCTGTACGACTCCTTTTTCCTCCGGTTTTTAGCCAATCTCTAGGACTCACTTTGTAAACATATACAAAGCTTGACAAGATGTCCCTCTGGGCATTTATAGGTATACTGAAGTTTTATGCTCGGTACTTTGTCAAACTTACGAATATTGCTATATCTTATTTAATCGGCCAGGTTAAATATCT